GACAGAGAGAGACAGAGCATGAACAGGGGAGGGGCAGAGAGAGAGGGAGACACAGAATCGGAAGCAGGCTCCAGGCTCTGAGCTGTCAGCACAGAGCCCGACGCGGGGCCCAAACCTACGAATGGGGAGATCATGACCTGAGCTGAAGTCGGACGCTTAACCGACTGTGCCACCCGGGCGCCCCAAGAAGACTTTAAAAGAACAAAGTGCTTGTGGTTTCTGACAGGCACCACTTTTTTTTTTTTTTTTTTTAATGTTTGTTTATTTTAAGACAGAGAGACAGGGAGAGAGAATCCTAAGCAGGCTCTGCACTGTCAGCACAGAGCCCGACGTGGGGCTCGGTCTTATGAACCATGAGATTATGACTGAGCCTAAATCAAGAGTTGGATGCTTAACTGACTGAGCCACCTAGGTGCCCTTGACAGGCACCACTTTTAAGTCAACCTTCTGTCCTCCTCCCACACACAGTGAACTTGTTTCAAAGAGGGATAAGTGAAAATACAATATGTTTTTATAAAATTGATTTGTTCCAGAAAACCAAATAGGGCTTTTGGATGAAAAAAGTAAAAATAAACCATTTACTCTAAACTTTCCAGAAAGTAAAATCTAACAAGATGAGAGACAAAAGATTAGTCATTACCCTTTTTTAAGATATTAGGAAACAGAAAAAGCAAAATTAGATAAAGAATTATTCAAGTATTTTTTTTTAAAACCCATCGATAGTATGTTACCCTCCGTACAAAAAGGAAGGGGACATAAAAGAAAAAAATACAGATACCTGCTCATTTCTGTAAAAGAAACACAAGAAGTATAAACCAAGAAGAAATGTGACTGGTGACCTACAGGAGGTAGGCAGGAAGGAAGGTGGAAATAATGGGGAAATGGGAACCGGTTAGTACAGAGGATGGGGGAATAACACTTCTGTGTATATCTTTTTGTTTAGTTTAGAACCATGGCACTGTTTCATCTACCCCAAACACAAATAAATAGTTAAAAGCAACCGGAGTGTGGGGGGTGACCCTAAATGGCATCCAAACATAACAAATGAACATAACTGCGTTATAAATAAATAACATAACCACACTGAAGGGAGTGAGAACACAGAACTAACCTAAGTTGGAAAACAGTGTTTTCAATGTATGCTCTAAGGCTGGTGACTACAGGAACTTCTACACAAATACTTCCTGCGTTTACGAAGTGCGTTTTTTGAAGGGGTGTGGGTTAGCAATTTTGAAACTACTTTCTGTGTAAACTACAATTAAGCAAATAAACAAATACATCGTGGATAGGAGAGAGAGGTTTCTCACTGCTGGAGAAAGCAGTTTTAAATAAGTGAAGGGAGAAGGTAAGGATGAACATGAGGTGCTGGATCGGAACTGCAGGCATGCGTATGTGCTCCTAGCTTTTAATAGACATACGGACTAACAGAGAACACGTACAGCTAATAGAGAACACGTAAAGCTGTGTACACGTGCCTTCTGTGGTACATCTATTTCCCAGCTCTGTCAAGTTAAGAAGCAATAACGTTCCACAGTGTGAGGATACCCGGCACCCAGATCTTGGTTTCTAAATACTGTTTTCTAATAAAAGAAATCAGAGCTCCTTGGAGAAATGGTTGATTCCAGCCCTGGGGTGGGGAAGCTACAAAATGAGCCTAGAGCATCTTGTACCAAAAGTAAGGAAGTGCTTAAAAAACAAAGGAGGGGGGTGCCTGGGTGGCTCAGTGGGTTAAAGGTCTGACTTTAGCTCAGGTCATGACCTCGTGTTCCTTCAGGGCCCGTGTCAGGCTCTGTGCTGACAGATCAGAGCCTAGAGCCTACTTTGGATTCTGTGTCTTCCTTTCTCTGCCCTGCCCCCACCTCTCAAAAATAAACATTAAAAAAAAAAAAAAAAAAAAAAAAAAAAAAAAAAGGATGTCTGTTGAAAAGACACAAAAGCTAGGTTAAGAACCTTTCAATGGCCAAATCTGGGACAATCTGACCAACAAAGTAAGAGTAGCAATGAATAATAACCTACAGAATAAAATAAATACCAATGACTCTACACTATTATAAATAACTGAATAAACAGGGAAGAAGAGGCAGATCTTCCTTATGGCAGAATTCCAATTAAATTGTAGAAAGAACGGTGGAAATAGAAAAATCACCATTAGGCAAATCCTACAGTAATAACTGTTGCATGGAAATATCACTCATGGATCAGGGGCGCCTGGGTGGCTCAGTCAGTTAAATGTCTGACTCCTGATTTTGGCTCAGGTCATGATCTCATGGTTCATGGGATTGAACTCCTGCTGACAGCATGAAACCTACCTGGGATTCTCTCTCCCCCCTCACCCACTTCTCTCTCTCTACCCTACCCACCCCGCTTTGTGCTCTCCTCTCTCTCAAAATAAATAAACTTTAAAAAAAAAACAACATTCATGGATCAGTGTGTGAAGATGTGATGCAAAAGACACCTGCATGGTCTCCTAGTAGTTAGATCCCTCCCAAAGAGATACTTAGTAAGGCAAAAATAGCAACTTTACAAAGGAGAAACATGGAAGATCCCACCTTAACCAAGTGACCCAAGTTAACATCAATATCATGTACCTCCTGATAATGATGAACTGATAAGGCACGGCATCACTTACATGGTATTTAAAAAAAAACAAAAAATGCTTAACTCCAATCTAATCATGGAGAACATCAGACAAACCCAAATTGAAATATATTCTAAATAGGCCAGTTGTCTTCAAAAGTGTTAAAATCATGAAAAAACACAGGAAGACTGATAATTGTCACAGACTGGAGACTACTACTAGAGGGACAAAATATAGCACTGGATCCTGAATCTGACCATGACCAGAAGAGGACATCAGTACGGCAAATGAGGAAACTCACACAAGATCTGTAGAATAATATTAACAGTATTTTTTAAAGTTCATTTATTTTGAGAAAGAGAGAGAGAAAGCACACGTACGTGAGAGGGAGAAGGGCAGAGAGAAAGAGGGAGAGAATCACAAGCAGGTTCCATTCTGTCAGTGCAGAGCCTGACACTGGCTTGATCCCACGAACTATGAGATCATGACTTGAGCCAATACCAAGAGTCAGACGCTCAACCAACTGAGCCACCCAGGCACCCCTAATAGTTAATAGTATTTTATTGGTGTTAATTTCCTGATTTTGATAAATGCAGCACTGTGGTGAGGGATGATGTTACCATTAGGGGAAGCTGGATGAAGCATATAAGTGAATTCTCTGTACTAGTTTCGCAATTTGTCTGTAAGGCGAAAATGATTTCAAAACAAAGTTAAAAATAAGGACTCCCACCAAAAATACTACCAAAAGCAAGATGGGATTTAATTTAGCCTGCCCCAAAGTTAACTCTGCAATGGTAGTTTTGTGGCATTGCCTATAATTGGGAAAAGTTTTTCTTTTTAATTTGGTTGACAAAAGCCTCCAGGTTAAAAATATACAGTATAAATTGCTGAATCTGGGAGTTACTCTATCATAGGGAAAAAAACCTCTGGTTTTTTTGATATTTGAAAATATTCATAATAAAAAATTTAAATACCTGTTACAGATAACCTTCTTACATACTTGTTAATGTGCTGAAGATGATGATCTGTCATTCTGGTCACTTTCATAAACATTTAGAATTCTATCATGGAACATTCAGGGCTAATAGGACCTTAGAAATCGAGATGTCTACCCCTGTGTCATCGTAAAGGAAGCCAGAGCCCAGAAAGGCAAGGGCTAGTTAGAGTCTGCTGAAGCTAGAATCCTGTCTCTGGCTCCTGAGCTAGGTATTTCTCCAACATTATACATTTGAGCTCCTCTTCATTTATTCTAAAACTTACCAGGAATGATTGCTACCTAAAGACCTCAACAGCAATAGTACAGTAATACTATTTACAACTGTTTCCAACTAAATAAGTAACTCAATTTGAACTAATTTGCCAGACCCAAGGGAATGAAACATGCATCTCAAGTAGAATATACAAATGGTAAAGATAAGAAAATCAACCATTCTAGTTTACTGTTCTAAATGAACTCTTTATTTTAAATAGGCCTTTTATAATAGTTCATATTGTCAAGTACTCTCTTTTCTTAATGGAAGTATTTTTCTATGTTTTCTCATGACTCTCTTTTTAATGGTACTTCAAGCTCAGTGAATGGCGTCTTTCAAACATCTATCCATGCAGAAAGCACCTACCGAACACCCAATGTGTGTAGGGCACTGTAGGTAATGCTGGGAACAAAAAGACTTAAAAAGATTCTGGGCTTCAAGCTGTCTACTGGAGAAATGGGCAAACACTGACTACAACACAAAGTGACAAGCGGTGGGCGCCATGGTCCATACATTGTGCTCTGGAAGAGTGATCAAGTAATCGGTCCTTGGGAGTATCCTTCCCCCCAGTTTAGCAAGTAAAAAAAATGGAGTAGCTGTAAGTCACCCAATAAATGGCAAAGCAAAACATGAACCTAGATCTCCTGACAGAGAATGGAATGAACACTATTACCCAATTCTGATCTAACTAAAACGATGAACTTTTTCATCTTGAGACAAGCCAGTGAGACAGGTTTGAGAGCTCTGAAGGACATTACAATCCAACTGCTCTGTTCAGTAACTCTGTAACCTTGGGGCAATTTCTCTGAACTCACTTTTCTCACCTGGGGATAATAAATCTTATCTCGTAAGGTTATTTTGAGAAATAAATGAGTAAATCCATAAGGCAACTAACATTGTTGCTGGTACACCATGGAGTCCGTAGACTTGGACTTGATGGATAGGATTACATCTTCTGGGTCTACCGAAGCTGGTACAATAAATACCTAGCATAGACATGTTGGATGAATATTTACCAAATAAAGTCATTATTAAGTAAATGTTGAATTTAAAACTATTCTTGAGTTGAGCTATATTTAATTATTTCTAGATTTTTAAAAAGAAATCTCCATTTTATCCCTGTAAATGGAACCCAATTTTAAGGACTCGTTCACTGTCACAGCAATACTTACTTTCTACTGTAGCTCCTTCGTTTGGGTTTGAATATCCTTCTCCTTTCTGTTTGATTCTTCGGATAATGCCTCCATCTTCAAATAAATCCTCTCCTTTGAAATCGAGGAGCTCAATCTAGAAAGGAAAAAAAGATCTGGCTGAGAAAAGACCAAACAGAGCCAGCTTAACATACTTAAAGACAAGGACAACCGATTCTCCTTTCATTTTACAAAATAAAACTCTTTAATATTTATCTATGCATCTGTTATTGGAAAAGTAGGAAAAAAAAGAACGCTGCACTTTCAATACCTGGAAAGAGCCTTCACTTAACGATAATGTCTAGGACTGCATCCTGTGGGGTTGCAGTGCAAAGACAGACAGGAAATACTAGGAAAGCTGCCTTGTGGGCAAAAAGCCAGAGCTACAAGGTGCTGCCCTGAACTATTTTGTCTGACTCTAGAGGCCACCACCTTTCCACCCCAGATTCATGGAATTCCCTTTTGTAAATGTAAAAATAAATCCTATGAATCAGACCTACAACCAACTAAAGGTGTTTTTTGTTTTTTTGGTTTTATTTTGTTTTACCCAGTTATGACATTTCAGGCATTTCCTCCCTTAATTTTTTAATCACACTTGGACAGATCTATGTAATTCAACACAGAATGAATAATGTTATCACCACCTACTGCTTCTAATGAAAAAGCGAGACCAGTGACAAATTGTAAACCTGTATAATATGAAAGTATCTTACCATTTGGTTTAGGTATATTTCAACACTGGTCTGCCACATTTTCAACGTTGTCTTCTGGTCAACTTTGAGTATGTTATACTCACACCACTGACCAGAACCTTTCTTTTTAAGCCTGGTGTCTTTTGTTTATTTGGATATGATCGTTCAGTGCCAGAAACACGTTTCTAAGAAAGCACTGGCACACACCCCTTGGGTTTGTGGGAAACAATTCAAGAAGCCAAGCTCCAAAATAAATAAGTTGGATCTGATTCTCAACAGCAAGCTTAGCTCCTTGTTCCACTGCCTGTTGCTTCAGAGCCAGCACTATACTAGAACAGAGGCTAACAAGGCAACATCACACACACACTTACCTCAAAAAAGAGAGTTGCATTCGAGGGAATTTTGGGGAGACTGCCAGCAGAGCCATATGCGTATTCTGGTTTGCACAGTAAATGGCAGATCTCTCCTTTCTTCATGGTAGCCACCCCAATGTCCCATGCTTTGATAACTTGACCTACGAGAAAGAAAAAGGTGGTTGAAAGCAATAAGCCGTATTTAAAAATATTTAACTGTCATAAAACAAAAGTTTGAATAAATTTCCTTTACATTACATAATCAATAAGCAGGGGCTCAAAAAGAACCAAGAAATAAATTGATTAAAAAAATTTTTTTAATGTTTATTTACTATTGAGAGAGAGAGAGAGAGCGAGCGAGCATGAGTGGGGGAAGGGCAGAGAGTGAGGGAGACACAGAATCTGAATCAGGCTCCATGCTCTGAGCTGTCAGCACAGAGCCCAACGCGGGGCTGAAACCTGTGAGATTGTGACCTGAACTGAAGCAGGAAGATGTTTAACTGACTGAGACATCCAGGAGCCTCGCCCCCTTTAAATTTTTTAAATGTTTATTTACTTTTGAAGGAGAGAGAGCCAGCGAGCATGAGCAGGGGACGGGCAGATAGAGAGGGAGACAATAAACTGATTTTTGAGGGTGACCAGAGAAGATTCCCTGCTGAGAAGGAGAACAGTAGTATCAATTTCTAAGTTTCAAAGACTGAATCTTTGAAAAGTGGTAATAACGTAATCTTTGAAATGTAGCTGGGCTGCAGCTGTTGCTTAATTTACAATTTCAGCCATAATAAAGGGTGTTTTCTAGGTACAGATAGAACAAAAATAGTATGGAATGAAATGGAATTTGTCCTAAGGAAGCTTATAATTCAGTTGAGTAGACAAAAACAACAAAACAACTGGAAAAGTATAAATTGCATAAAAGGGCCCATGAAAGAGATCTCCAAATTTAGAAAAAGAAAAAAATATTTTTGTTTTGTTTTTAAACAAAATGGTTATGTGTCCTTTTGTCAAATCACAAGAACTACTGAACTCAGAATTTTTTTTCCTACTTCCAGGAAACTAAAAGTTGACTTTACTCCTCAACTGTAGAACTATTCTAGCGTACATAATTGTAATTATATCTTACAATAATCAGTCTCAAATCCTTTGGGAAACAAAAAATGTAGGTGATTTAAAGAGGTAAAATACAAAAATGAGGTACTATGTCAATCAAAAACTTAAGTACTGACAGCAGGATCAGGTAAACAATAAATCCCAGCAGAAGTGAATTTTTTAAAAGTTTATTTATTTGAGAGTGAGACAGTGTATAAGAGCAGGGGAAAAGCAGGGGGAAGGGGGAGTGGGAGGAGGGGGGAGGAGAGGGGAGGAGAGGAGAGGAAAGGAGGAGACATAATCCCAAGCAAGCTCTACACTGTAGTGCAGAGCCTGATGTGGAGCTCAAACCCACGAACCACGAGATCATGACCCGAGCCAAAGTCAGATACTTAACCGACTGAGCCACACAGGCGCCCCTGAAAGTGAATTTTGAAGAAAGCTATCATCTTGAACTGTGGTAGGATATTAGAACAAGACGAATTCTATACTTAAGTAGGTAAGTAGGGATGGATAGAACATTCCTGACTCAGGACTACAGCTTGTCTTAAGTATTGTAATTTTTCAAAAGATCAGATACTGTAGTTAAAAATGTTTAAGTTATACATGCCTATTATTCAATCACACACGAGAAAAAACAAAGTAAAAGGGCATCCATTCCCTCCTTGTAAGAAGACACTGTTTGTTGTTCCTTTTATACCCTTCTGGTGCATGCTGTACAGCATATCATGCATTTAATTCTGCTTTTTATTCAATATATATCTTGATCTCTGTCAGCAGAAAGGAGGATATGCATTATTTTTAGGATATGCATTTTAGAGGTTAAAAATGTAGACTGTTTTAACCACAGACTACCTGGATTCAAATACCAGGTCTGCCCCTTATAAGTAATGTGTAAATTATTTAATCTCTGTGCCTCAGTCTCTCATCTGCAAAATGTAGACAATAACTGTGCCTGCCATATAGTTGTTATGAGAATTGTTAGATAAAATCTGTCAAATGCATGACATAATGACTGGCATATGATATATACTTAAGAACAGCTGTCATTCAGGCACCTGGCTGGCTCAGTTGGTAGAGCACGTGACTTTTGACCTTAGGAACAGGAGTTCAAGCCCCACGTTGGGTGTACAGCCTACTTCTAGAAATAAAAATAAACAAATAATGAAAGAACAGCCATCATTATCATCATCATCATAAATACAAATATACAAATATTTGTACAACATTGAATACAATTATTAAATGAGATCTAGTTCATTCTAAATGACAGCATGATATTCCAGTCACTCTCCTATTGAGAAACATATTAACAGTAGTCTAAATAAGGATATGTGTCCATACAGGATTGTCTACTTTGTGTGAGAATATTTGGAGAATATTCTAGAAATGCAATGGTGATGTGCACTTTCAATTTGACGGACGTTGCCCAACTGCCCTTCTAAAATGGCTATATCGATTTATTTTTATTTTTAAAAAATGTTTATTTTTGAGAAAGAGCACTTGCAAGTGGGGCAGAAAGAAGGAGACTGAGGATCTGAAGTAGGCTCCAGGCTCTGTGCTGACAGCAGAGAGCCCGACGCAGGGCTCCAACTCACAAACTGTGAGATCATGACCTGAGCCAAAGTCAGACACTTAACCAACTGAGCCACCCAAGTGCCCCAGCTATGTCAATTTATACGCTCACACATGGTTCTATTGTGAAAACAGTCCAGAATCATCAGGTGAAATGTAAAGTCTGCTGTTGATAGGTTGCTTTCCTGTCACTGATGCTTGGAGTCGGCCCTTGAGGAACATTTTTTTTCTTTACTATCAACTCTGGTATTTTAAGACATACTTGTCCAGGAAATCTTTATATTGTGGGGGGGGGGGGTGAGGGGTGAGGGGGGACTACTGTACATTTTTTCAAGTTATTTAGCCAACTACTGAGGAACAAAAGTCCAGCTATTAAGAATACAAAGATGGCCATTCCCTTCTTCCTTCCAAGGAAGGTGCAATGTAGTATGGCTAGTGGAAGAGAATGATAAGTGCACTCTTTTTGCTTTTGCTTTAAAGGAAGCAATGGTAAACACCAACAAAGAGTATAAACAAGGGGCTTTTTGCTTTTGGATGGGGGTTAGAGCAATCAACAAAAGCCCAATTCATTGATAAGATCTACTCTATGCCTAGAAGTTGGAAACATTAGCCTGTGGATTAAATCTATAGGAGCCTTGACCTAAAAAATTCATGCCTGTGCCTTTGCTTTTCTTCTCATTTAGAACATAAATCTTCTCTTACATCGAATTCCTAATACTGAATGAAAACACATTAGCAAAGAGCCAGACTGGTATGAACAGGTATATGTTTCTAAAATAGTCAATCCAGGGACTTTCTTTTTTTTTTTTTTTTTAATTTGTTTGTTTATTTTGAGAGAGAAAGAGAGCACGAATGTAGGTGTGAACAGGAAAGGGGCAGAGAGAGAGGGAGAGAGAAAAGAGTCTTAAGCAGGTTTCACACTGTCAGTGCGAGCCCGACACAGGGCTAGAACTCACGAACTGTGAGACCCTGACCTGAGCCAGTCACAAATAGGATGCTCCACCCACTGAACAACCCAGGTGCCCCCAGGGACTTTTCTTAAAAAGTACTTCCCCCTGTTGTGATGACTACCGGGTGATGTATGAAGTGTTGACTCACTAAATTGTACACTTGAAACTAATATTACACTGCATGTTAACTAACTGGGATTTAAATACAAACTTTAAAAAAAAAAAAAAGTATCTTCCCCCGATTAAAAAAACAAAAAGTAACAATACATAGTTATTATAGAACACCTAGAAATTACAGAAAAGCATAAAGAGTAAAATAAAAAACCTCTGAAATTCCAGCATCTGGGGTAAACTGTCAATTTCCTGGTTCATTTCTTTCCAATTATATGTTCACTTGGTTTGCATTTAAAATTTTTACATATACATTCTTAAAATTCTGGTCATAGTTTATTTGGTTTTGTGATCTACTCTATATTTCACACTCAATGAGCATTTTCTTGTTAAAAGACAGTATTTGAAAAATGACCTAATAACTATCTCATCTTCTGATTATAATTTCAATTACATTAATAAACATTTAGGTTCTTCCTTTATTCTTCTGACTTTTATAAAGTTCTGATGAACTGATGGATGAATGGATAAAGAAGATGTGGTATGTATATATGTGTGTGTGTGTGTATACACACACACACACACACACACACACACACACACTTGGCAATCAGAAAGAATGAAATCTTGCCATTTGCAACTACATGGATGGAACTAGAGGGTATTATTCTAAGCAAAATTAGTCAGTTGGAGAAAGACAAATATCATATGACTTCACTCATGTGAGGACTTTAAGATACAAAACAGATGAACATAAGGGAAGGGAAGCAAAAATAATATAAAAACAGAGAGGGGGACAAAAACATAAGAGACTCTTAAATATGGAGAACAAACAGGGTTACTAGAGGGGTTGTGGGAGGGGGGGATGGATGGGCTAAATGGGTAAGGGCATTAAGGAATCTACTCCTGAAATCATTGTTGCACTAGATGCTAACTAACTTAGACATAAATTTAAAAAAAAAGTTCTGGTGAACAATTTTGCACCTACATCTTTGCGTAACTTTTTCTGTATAATAAAAGCCTCTTACCTGATAATCAGAGCTATATAGTTGGGAGGTTAATTTAAAATGTTGCTTGGGATTCTCGCTCTCTGCCCCTCCCCTGCTCCCTCAATGAACGAGTAAATCATTTGCAATTTACAATGTGGGTTTCTTTAAAGTGGACTGAGAACCAGAAGATACTTGTAAAGCAATCAGTACATAGAATTCTTCTGGTAAAATGTGTTCTGAAGGGCTTGTTTTTGCCTTTTACCCATCCCTAATTCAACAACAATTTACAAAATGCTTTTAGCAATTTACCTTAGTAAGGCTTTCCAAAAATGTCCAAGTTTTCACAGAAATAATTCCTCTTTCTTTCTACACTAATTTAAGTGTTTTATATATTAATTAAATTATATAATTACAAAAAGTACAATGGCTATAAACAGGTTTCAAGTGATT